AAACGTTTTTGAGATCTATGCAAATTTTTATGTCCAAAGTGAGACATTAAACTAGCATGTTTTTCCATTTTCTCTCTGGCCGGATGTACTCAAAACGTTGCTTTTATTCCCTTATTTTGGTAGAGAGGGGGGATCCTCTTTAAAAATGTTTCGTTTTTTACATTTGGAGCGCAGGTTTAGGGTTGCCGTCATACTTCATTAGATAGTCTGGTTCAGGAGTCCTGGTAACCCTCTAACCTGGTACTTGTATTTCGCCAGGGCCATACAACAACGGGCAAAGTAATGGGGGTAATAATTCGGGCTCGCCGACAAGCCGACTGCTCTTGGAGTATGAGATGCACCTCCGGAACACACTAGCCAAGGGAATGGACGCCGAAAGCTACTCGCTGCACACGTTCGAGGCCCTTCTCTCTCAGAGTATGGAAAATTTGGGTAAGTCTGAGGACTTCCCAGAGTTACTTTTCCTTGCCACTCCGACTGTGAGAGGCGCTCCTTAACGCAATTGTTGCCCATTTTCAGAATTCGCTGAGAGCTTGCCCTTGAACTCACGCAGCCCCTACCCGAATAGAAGACGTAAGTAGTTGTTTATGGTTCACGTTTTCAGCTTGCCAACAAGTTAAAACATTTCGAGTAAAATTATTTGAAACTCCATGTGTCGTATTGATTGCGTTTGCTCCCCTATGCAGGTCCCGGCTCGGCAGCCAGCATGAACAAATGCTCGACGCTGCCATCCCACTTATCGCACCGCTTGTCAGTAGAGCGGTCCATCGACCGGCCCGTGGAGCGACCCGGCTCCTCGCGGGAGGGCTACTACTCTGACCGCAACGAGCTGGCGCGCGAGCGGGAGCGCGAAAGGGAGCGGGAGCGGGGCTACCTCAGCGATCACAATTCCAGGTAAGTCCCTTCTCCTATTTGTACGTCATTAACAATGTACCATTATGGTCATCCTGCGATTGATGACATCTTTTGAAATTACATTTCGACATATTTCCTCATACGTAGCCGCCAATCAGTGATGAATGCAAAATTTCACCCTCGCAGCAGTCGGTGTGCGTCGTGCCTTGGTGAGTCGGCCCGCGCGCAGTGGTTCCGCCACTCGGACGGCTGGAGGTCAGGCAGCTCCGCCTACGGGTCTGGCACGTCGTCCACCATGACGTCGACGCTGGGCCCGCCGCAGCACCACATGAGCCTGCAGCGCGGCCACCGCCGCTCGCCCTGGGACTCGCTCCCGTCGCTGAGGCACGACTCATCGCTCAACGACTCGAGCTACAAGAGCAGCCGCACCGACTCGTTCGACCAGAGGTGAGCGGTGGCGACACCCCGCGTGCCAGCGCCTTCATGGGCGGGGCCCCCGTGCGGAGTAGCGCTGGGGCCTCGTCCGGGGCGGGGCACTCTCGCGGGACTGGGGGTGGCGGGCTTGACAGGGGCTAGACCTCCCTTGCTGGGTAGCGTAGCATATGCCACACACCTGCACTCGATTTTGAGCCTGCTTGGAAAGATAGTTAATCAGAAAGGAGATTATATGTGGTATTGCATTGCGCCGTTGTCACTACAGAAGCGAAACGTATTTTGGGGCAGCCGTTAAGACTGCCTTGTTTTAAAAACTGAGCGTTATCAGGTTGTTTATTGCACATGGTGCTTGTAGTAGGAAAATTTCGTTAAAACAAATCGAATCATTGCGACCAATTACGGGCCGAGAGTGTGTTACAGTACTACAGAATAACACAAATATAAGATCATTCGGCAATCCACATTTTTGTTACCTCCTTCTATCCTAACGCGTGTGAGGCAGGCTACGCGTTCAGAAATAAATATTTTACTAAATCTACTTACAGTTAATCTTGATGTGTTCTGTACAGGAGTCTGCTAGACCGGCAGGATTCTCTCCGCTCCGACTATCTGAGCGACAGAGATACCCGGTATGGCATTGTGCAGCAGGCTTCCATTGAAAGCACCGACTCCAGGCTATGCTATCTTACCTCTTCAGAGGTAAGTTCTTCGGACAAACCTTAGTTAAAATTTTCGACCTATTGAAAAGCGAGGGGGCAATGCCTTCCGCACTAGTTCGTACACCTCCGCCCGAACTACTAATGGCTTCCCAACTACCAACTTGCATAGCGTAATGACGCCTAATTGTGGCTCACTTACGTTCTAGAGATCCGGCGTAATAGCGCCGTTATATCATGATAATGTATATAAAATTATAAATAATGATGCAAGTAGGGTGAACCAACATGTACTAACGTACTAACGTACTAACTCGTTCTCACTCCTCTGGCCGGAGTCATTCTCCCTTGATGCAAAGTACAAACCAAGCACCATTATTCCGAAAATTGTCTTTTTTTAAGCTGGAGTGATGTCCGTTTTCGTTGCTCCATTTAAGTGATAGCGGTCGTCATTCAAATAAAGCAATATATTAGAAACCATCACTCAAAGAGAGCAATGAGATTGGAATCAATGTGTCGCTCTCCCAACAGCGACGCGCTCGACTCCTGCACTTCGAGTATAAAATTTGTTTGGGCACGCAAAACCCTAGTAACATGAAGTT